GGTAATTAGTACATTTGGAATCAGGGAACTTGGCAATTGGGAGGTGACCTCGGAGTTCAGAAGCCAGGGACTAACACGCGAGCAGGATCATCCTGTGGCTCAGCCCACACCCCAAAATACCAGTCCACTTCCACAGCCCCCTAAAGGCGCCTCCCAGCCTTAAAAGATGCATATGTAGACCCAGAAATTTCACTAACGAGAGTCTCTCCTAAGGAAAGAATTCTAAATATAGAAAAACGCTCCAGCACAAGGGTACCAGAGCAGCTTTCTCTGGAAGAGTGGCTAATTAGAGACAACCTAATTGTCCAACGACGGGGGACCAGCGTCCATGTGACAGCGAACTGCAGTTAGACTGACGAGGCAGGAAGGACACAGGATCCTTTTATCGTCGAGGCTGAAAAGCAGGATCCTAAGTCAGATGATCACAGCCAAAGGACATTTTTTAAAAAGCACAGAACGAGGACTCCAAGGACATTAACTAAAATATCAACACAGGTTCTCTGTGGCGGCTGAGAATGTGGGTCACTGCTTTTCCCCTTTGCTCTACTTCTCTGAATTCTTCAAATTTTCTGGGATAAACATGATAGAAAAGTTTACCTTTAACTGAATTGGTTGTATTAGGTAACTGGGGCGTCAAAGTAGCCCAGCCCTTTGTGCGAGCGTGTGAGTGTATGTGCCCGCAATGGCTGTGTGAGCGTGTGGACGGGAGTGCGTAAGAGTGTGGGTGTGAGTATGAACACCGTGAAATCCAGTGTGTGTGTGGGTGGGTGTGAGGGTGCGAGTGGCCGTGTGCGAGCCAGCACGTAAGTGCATGTGTGTGGATGTCAGTGCGAATCCGAGCTCGTGCTCGTGAGGGTGTGTGGAAGCGTGAGCGGGTGGGCCTGGGGGGGAGTGAGGGCAGCCATCCGCGGGCCAGGTCCAGCGAGTCCGGGGGGCTCCGAGCTGCACCCCTCCTGCAGGGCCTCCGTCTCCTTCCTCACTGGGGTGGGCGGTCCTCAGGGCTTCGGCCAGCCTCCACTCGCAGTGCTGCATGCAGCCTCTAAAGCCAGGGAGAAGAGGCCACGCTCACTGCCAGCAACTTCACGGGGCTCAGGGGCCAGATGGGACGGGAAAGGTCCAAGGGAAAGCAGCCTCCGTGACACCAGCAACCTCCTGGCCTGGGATCTGCGGCGGGAGACACGCTCGCTCGCTCACTCACCACCTGACCGCTGTGGGGCCCTGGGCGGCCCCAGGGGCTCCCAGGAGACCCTCCACTCTGCAAGGTCAGGGTTCCGCAACGCTTTCCTCCACTGCCAGGAAAGGCAAGTACTGGCAACAAATAAATCCTGCACAACACTCCTGGTGACAAAGAGTGCCCTCCCTCCCTCCTCCAGCCTCGAAGGAACCCTCCCCCCGGCACACAGGAACCCCCCCCCCCGGCGCTTTCATCTCTGTCACAACGAACGGCTTTACTTGAGGTCATTTTGATTTTTTTTCTTTTGGAGGCTCAGCCTACCGACAAAGGCCAGGCTGCCTCACACAGTCAACTCCAAGTGCACGCCCTGGCCCTTCCGGGGTAGTGCCAAGCCCTTCACACTTCTCTTCCCTGACCCCGAGGCACTTGCTCAAAACCACAACACGAGTTCTCACTCCACGTGAGACACAGGCCTGTGTCCCCTTCCCTTGAACAGGGCTGACCTGTGACTGTCTCAATCAACAAAGTGTGTGGAGGTGACGCTACGGGATGTCCAAGGCTAGGGCGCATCCCCTGGGCTTTCTCAGGACCCAGCCACCATGCTGTGAGGAAACCCAACTAGCCCACGTGGACAGACCACATGGAGAGGCCACACACACGTAGGCATTCTGGCCACAGGCCCAGCTGAGATCCTGGTGGAGAGGCAGCACCAACCACCGTCACCTAAGTGAAGATGCTTCCAGAAGATTCCAGCCCCCAGAAGAGGCTCCAGACACCACGCTCTGCCCTGTCCAAACACCTGCCCCGGGGAGGCCAGGGGCATCTCCCAATTGCTCGTTTACACCCTGACATTGGTGGTGGCTTGTGGTACAGCAGCAGGGGCCTATTCCCCGTGGTTTCCCAGCCCTGGCTCCGCCCCCCACCACTTACCTGTCACCCTGATGACCGGGTCACACGGGGGCTGAAGCACGGGCCACCGGGACTTCTCGCTCCTATGATCCCACAATCTATAGTCTGGCTCCGGCGGCACAGAGGGTCAGTCCCGTCCCTCCGGGGCAGGTCACTGCTGGCCTCTCGGGCACTGTCTCCTCAGTTCCTCAGCGGCTCTGGGCGGAAGCAGACCATCGTGGGGAGTCCTGTGGGTACGCGCGCACCAAGCCTGGGTGACTGGCTTGGACAGTCGGGAAGGATGGAGGCCCCTGCCCCCTAATCGCCATTTTGCCTCAGGTGACTCCCCTCTGGAGGACAGGCGGGGGGCTCAGGAGGTGCAGCTGAGCCCTCTTCGGCCCACCTGACAGCCCCCACACCCTTGTTCCTCTGTCCCACAGCACCCTGGGGTCCCCGGCCCCTCCCGAGTCCAGGTCCCTGCTCCTGCCCGGACACCTGCTCACCTGCCCCGGTCTCTCGGGCTCAGCTGCTACCTTCTCCCCTCGCCACACTGCAGCCAGAGCCCCTTCCCAGAGCCCAGGTCTGGTGAAGGACGCTTCTGCCTAAAACAGAGGCTACAAATAAGCCCATCCCAGAAGGACGAATCCTGTGAGTCCATTCCTTCGAGGTTCCCGGAGTCGTGCGGTGCACAGAGAGCAGATGGTGGTGCCGGGGGGCTGGGGGGCGGGGTCAGTGTGTCACCGGGACAGAGTCTCAGAGTGGACGGATGGCACGTTCTGGAGCCGGACGGTGGTGGTGGCTGCACAGCAGTGTCACTATGCTCCAGCGGCCCATAGCCTCCCTCCCTGGCCCGCAAAGGCTGACCCAGCTGCTGCCTCCTGGGTCCCCCACTGGATCTCCCGTCTCCAAGCAGGTAACCCCAACGTCAGAACAGCCGCGGGTGATGAGTGCCCCCCCCCCACCGCCTTGGCCCACCCCCAGGGCTGGAGAGGCTCACAGGGGAAAGGTCAGGGAGCGTCCCTTCCGGAAGGACTGCATAATCACCTGGTTTTCTAAATCAAGTCCACTTTATTTGAAACTTTCCACATGCCACAAATTTACATGAAAATACCCATTCAAAAATGTCATTTGAACACAAAATTCAGGAGTGGGCATCGCCAGACAGAAAAGGAGGTCTGTGTGGAAAAGCAGGTGACACGTATTTGGTCACTTAGCACCTGGTCACCACATACCATGAGCCCCCTGGCCAACTCACCCCACCCTTTGAAAAACATGCTGAGCTCAAGTGCTTCCGGTCAGCCGCATACGGACAGCCAGTGGTCGAGGGCGGCCGGGGCTGGACAGCCTACCTGCACTACGGCCGTCATGTGGCCGCCTCTCTGGCCCCCTCGCCCTCCAGCCCGCCCGCTACGGTGAGCACACAGAGAAGCCTCTGGCCCACGCCGTTAGGATTCCACAGAAAACCATCCCCTCGTCAGGTTTAGCGGAGCGCTACAGACCGAATCTCCCAGGTGGTGAACGTGGCTCCCGGACCTCACGACCACGGGCAGCCCTGGGTCCCCCCGCCCGCCATTCCCCGGCTGGCTGGTCCGGAGCAGGGTGCAGCAGGTGCCCCGACCTTGTGACATGAATGCAACCTCCCCCTCCCGCCCCCCACCGTGGTTTCTGAAAAAGCTCTAGAAAGTAATTTAGACATTCAGGTGACACCATCCAGCCTGTGTCAGCGACCTTAGAGACTCCCAGTGAGAACCCCGTGCCCCCAGCACAAACAAGGCCTGTGAGCACCACAAGGGCACCCGAGCCCCCGCCGCACAATCCCGTCCCCTCCTGGCGAAGTGTGGGGGAGGAGGCTCAGGGCCAGGGCCAGGGCCAAGGCCAAGGGAACTGCGGGCAGTGGTGCCCCCTTCCACCTCTGCATCGGAAACCTGGGGTCTCCGCTGAAATCTGCCACCACCGGACATACTGCATTATACTCGTCCACTAATTTCTCATTTCTTATTATTCTTCCTTACAAGGCCTCGACAATTCTCAAACCCTCCAGAGCAGATAATGAGGGCCAGTGGGAGCAGGGGGCTGCCTGATACCCCCGTGCCACTCAGAGGAGGTCATGAGGGTGGGTCCCCTTCCTGCAAGCTGGGGGGAGGCGGCGGGATCGTCACCTTCTTGACACAGACTCGAGGAGGACCACTGGCACAACCAGGACAGCAGAGGCTGGTTTCAGACCCTCGAGGGCCAACAGACATCCAGGTCCCGCGGCTCCTGCGGCCCTGCTCCCCTGGCCCAGCTCTCCCAGCCAGGCCTCCGCCAAGCTTTGTCCTTGCAGCCAAGTGGCCTGCAGCCGTGGGTCCTGGTGCAGGGGCAACCGGTTAAGGGAGGCTCACCCTCAACACCCAGCCTTGCAAGAGCTGCCTGAGGTGTGTGTGGGGGGCGTCGTCCCAGGGCCCGTCCTGGGCCCCAGCCACGGGCACCAGCAGAGCGCCCTCCAGCCTGGTGTTGGACACGGGGGCCCAGACCCATGAATCCTTGGGTCCTCAAGAGGACAGCTGCCAGGCAGGGAGAAGATCCGCCCCCCGGGATGTATGACAGAGTGAAGTGTCCCTAATCCAGCCTCCTTGGGCTGGGAACTAAAGATACTTGTGCGTGAGAATGAAAAGCCACCGACAGGGAAGGAGGCTGCAGACCTCTGCTCCTCTCAGGCTCCAGATGCCTCCCCCGGGGAGCACCTTCAGACCCTCCGGCCACGTTGTGTGGCACCCAAGTCAGAGCCCCGGGGGCAGGCATGCCTGGTCACCCGGGGGTGGGGTGGGGGGAGTGAGCCACAAGGTCTAGGGGCGAGGTGGGCACAGGCGGGAGGAGGGCAGGGGGCTTCTATTTTAACAAAGGGATAAATGCCCTGATCTCTCCTCCCCTCCTTCCTCGGCATTCCCACCTCCCCCGGTCTCTCCTCTCTCTCATACACGCACACGCACACACGCGATCACACACAGAAACGCACAAGCACGTGATCACATGCAGAAACATGCTCGCATGCACATGTGCACGCACACACGCAGACCATGCACGTGTACAGACAGTACTCACATGTGTGTGCACAGATGTACACACACGCGCACACGCAATCACACGCACACGCACACACGATCACATGCAGAAACGTGCTCGCATGCACATGTGCACGCACAGACACCATGCGCGTGTACACAGACTACTCACATGTGCGTACACGCAGATGTACATGCACGCACGCGCGCACACACGATCACACGCACACGCACACACGTGATCACATGCAGAAGCGTGCTCGCATGCACATGTGCACACACACGCACACCACGCACGTGTACACAGACTACACTCACGTGTGTGTGCACACAGGTGTGCGCACGCGCACACACGCACAGCCAGCAGTGCTGACCAGGCCCCCTCTCGGCAGGCAGCATATGGTCCGCACTTAACAGGCCAGTTCTGCCAATTGGGGACCATTAGGGTGGGTTCTTTTCCCAGCATAAAATGCTGCAGAATATAAATTGCAATTAACACCGCTGCCAAAATAGCACTTAGCGAGAATAAGCACACTATTAACATCTGGTGAGTCCCGTCCCGAGGGCAGAAGCGGCGGAAGTTCTTGCTCTAGTAGCAGGATGGTTACGGACACACTGAGAGTACACAGTCTACTGCGTGGGGGCGGCTCTCCACGACAGCTCACGCACCCAGCCTCGGGGTGAACGTCCCCTCCGGGCCCTGTTTGTTGGCATAAATGCTGCTGCTGGTTAAAACTGCTTGCTCGGGAGAAGAGGCCACCCAGGCGAGGGCGTGAACACACAACTGCAGCCTAGTGGAAACCTCATTCTCCAGCCAGAGCCCGGGCTGCTCTGGAGGAGAGAAGGGCACCCAGAGCCACCCAGAGCCCTGGGCACCTCCCCACTGGGGAACACCCCCATGCCAGTCAGGCTGTGACCAGCCACACGCTTGCTTTGAGGAGAAGAAGTGGTCAGTTCCCATTACCACCCCCTTCCTTGACCACCTTTGCCTGGAGGGGGGTGGTCTCTGGGCACCACCTGAAATACCCCAAAATTGGGGAGGGGAAGTGCGCCCACCAACTCTCAGACCCTCATCTACAGCCATGGGGCCCTATCGGGACCTCAGCCCTGTCTCTCCGGGGCCCAGGGCAGTCTGTCCCTCAGCCTGTGAAGCCAGGCAGGGCTCTCAGACCACATCAGGACCTCTAAGGTGAAGGCTGTAGGCATTCGTCTACGGGCAGCCTGCAGACCAGTCCCTCTGGCTGGGCTGCAAAGAAGTGCCAGCCTCAGCCCAGGGCAGGGAGAGGGCATGAAAACCAGGGCGAGGAGGGAGGAGACTCACCCCACGGCACCCGTGCATCCCCCCGTCCACGCAGACAGGAGGGCGGAGGGCAGAGCAGAGCCCCTGGGATGGGCAGACTGTTCCTCCCAGGGCCCTGACCCCGGGACTGCTTGATTCCTGCAGCTGTGCTGTCTGGCCTCCTGGACCCCTTCAGCCCCGCGGGGCTGGGGGCTGCAGAACTGTCTGTCCCTCAAGAACCCAGGGACAGAAAGGCAAATGAAAAACCCCAGGGTCATGGACCCGCTCTTTTAGTAGGTAAGCTGCAGGACATGCTACACGGAACGGGGAGAGGGGGACTGTCTCCACAGACACAAAGTGGGAAGATGGCCAGGCTGGGGGCCCAGAGCAGATGGGCACCAGCAGCGTGAGCAGGGCCTGGTGGGCTCTGCACCCCCAACCCAGAGGGAGAGGGAGGCCCGGGGAGGCAGCCTCTGCAGGACTGACGTGCCCCCGCCTGGAAGCCGTCCAACGGTGCCCAGGACCCCTGGCAAGCCTCCAGGAGCATCACTGAGGGCAGTCAGGGCTGGACCCGGGTTGGAGGGAACCCGATCGCAGCCCCTTGGAAGCCACCGGCCGAGGGGCCACCGGCTCTGGGGAGTCTTGCGGTCGAGAAGGCAGCAGGCTCAGCACAGGAAGGGTGGCCCTGGACACTGGGAGGTCACTCCCCATTTTTGGAATAGCTGCACTGAATTTTTTAAAGTGCTAAATAAAGCTATACGAAACGGGGTAGTTTGATCACTACTCTGGCCTTAAATGTCCTTTCTAAGTTTTAATATTTCAAGTTTCTTGAATGAAGCCAGGTATGTATTTCCCCAGAAACACAGATCTTCACGGAGAAGAGGTCCTAAAGCTGAGTGGTGCCGTGCTGGCTGTACAGCGGGCTTGCCCCAGGCCTTGCCCCCCAGTCCCAGCCCCACGGGGTCCCGGCCCAGCCAGCGGCCCCAAACTTGTCTGACGCCATCTGGCTGGAAACACGCTGGAGACATAATTGAGTTAAAACATGTGTTACTGGGAAGGGGAGCCCCAAATCTGGAGCTCCCCTCCACACTGTGCTCCCAGCTGGCCCGAGGGAAGCCGTGCCATCGGGCCACCATGTGAGCGTGTCCGTCCCCACACGCACGGTCACCTCCAGCCCCGGGCCTGAGGCCACCCCTCTGCAGAGCCTGACGGCAGGTGGCCAGAAACACATGAGACACACTGGAGGGTGGAAGAGGCGGTGGGGCGGGGGGCAGCACTGGGGCCCCGTGCTGCTCTGGGGACCTGGTCAGGGCCCCCGGAGAGTCAGCGCTCCGTGACGGACGAGAGTCTCAGCTCAGGAGTACCCACGCCAGGCCCTGCAGGGACAGCCGGCTCTTCCTTCTCATCCTCCTCGCGGATGGGACTCGCGTTTCACCGAGCGCCAAGAGCAAGCAAGAGGAAGCTTCGGGGGGCCCTGGGAGACGACAGGGGCGCGGGATGGCCGGGCAGAGGGGGAGTCCTTCCTCTTGGGATCCAAGAGGCCCCGGTGTCCGGCAGGGGCAGGCGTGAGCAGCAGCAGCCGGGCCACACGCCCCTCAGGGCAGTCGTGCTTCCAGGCCCAGGAGACTGACAGAGGCGACAGTGGCTGGCAGGAGGCTCGGCCGCCGGAAGCAGCTTCGCCCGGCGCCAGCTGTCCCTGTCACCACCACAGGTTCGGTGGCTCCTCAGCCACTCTGCTTTTAAATAAGGTGATCTCATCCAGGTGCACCATGGGGACGTCCCGGATGACATTGGTCAGGCCCTCGTGGAGCAGAGGGAAGATGACGACATTCAGCGCGGGCCGCTCGGCCTGGAAACTGAACCAGAGGCAAGCTGTTAGCGGGGCCCCAGGGGTGCCGGGAGAGGCGGGGAGGGGGCTGCCTGTCACCCTCCGCCGGGAGACAGCCATTGGGGCTTCGCCTGCCGAGGGAGAGAACAGGAGAGCAGCCTGTCAGAACAGGCCACCGCATTCCTGTGTAGCAGGGCCTCCTGGGAGCCACTGAAGCCACGGGAAGCCACACCCCTGGGCACCCGAGGCCCCACCGGCAGGACGACACCCTCAAGGGGTGGAGGAAGGGGACAGGCAGCCAACGCTGCGTGGCCACAGGCCACCCTCAAGGGGCACAAACTCCCAAGCCAGGCGAGCCAGCAACTCTGCCAGATGCCGCTGCTGGGAGCTATGAGCCTTCATCCAAACTCGAGACAAGTGGCTCGCCCTCCCCGCCCCACAGGGAGACAGTGTCCCCTGATGCAGCACAGATGCTCCACAGCCATGGAGCAACTCAGGCCACCGTCCCCGGGGCCCCGCAGGGACGGCTGGTGAGGTGACCAGCCCCCTTCCCACCCAGGGAAGGTGATGCGCTGGCCACAGTCCCTCAGGCGCTCAGTGGCAGGGCCCGGTGCGTAGCGGCCCACCCTGTGCACTGGCCAAGAGACGAAACAGAAGTGCCGGCTGCAGGGGGTCCAGGGAAAGGAAGACACACAGGTCCCCAGAGAGTGTGACAGAAGACGTCCAGACCCCATAGTAACTTCTGTCCCACAGTCTCAAAGGGCAAGCGATGGGAAAGTGCTCACAGGACAGGGAACCTGGGCATTTGCCAAAACTAAGGCAAGTCCCCTCCAGCCCCGTGCCCGCTGGAAGGGACAAGGAAGCCTCGGCCCGGCCCGCCCTGTGGCCTCCAGAGGAGGCAGTGATGGATTTATGACACATGTAAAGTAAATGCCAGAAAGGCACTCACAAAGCTGGATATTCTGGCAATAAAGGCACCAAGGAAATGCCTCCCAGTTCTGAGCTCAGTGTTCTGCTCACGGGCAGCAGTGCCTGTGACCATGAACCTCACAGGCAAGTCCTTGCCTGCAAACCCGCTGTGTGATTTACTTGAAACAAAATATTCTTGGATGTGGGATGTGCGTGCAAAGACTCCTCCGCCTGCCTGCCCTTCCCGAGGCCGGTGCCACCCCAGGCTCTTCACAGGTTGCTGTCAAGACGCTAAAGGGGGATTGATTTCTCACCCAAAGCCAGGAATGCGGGCTGCGCTGCCTGGCCCCGCTCCCTCTGCGCAGCCCCGGGCAGCTCCGGGTGGCGGCAGGCCAGGGGGCCAGGCCGACAGCACTTGGGAGCCACGCACACAAGGTCCCCGGGTCAAGGAGTGGAGATGCCCCCACCACAATTCCACCCCACTTCCTGCTTGCTCTCGGTTCACACCTGGATTCACTGGCACTTGGACAGAGCTCAGGGGAGCACACTCACAGCCGCTTTCTTTGCAAAGCCCCTCCCTGGGCCTCAAGGAGCCTGTGCGTGCTCTCAGCTACAGACTCACGGCCCCCACCGGCCCAGATGGCCAGCGACATCACCAGAGACATCGCACAGCTCGGCGGGCCTCGCCCGGAGTGGAGACGGGAAGTGGTGACAAGTGGGAAGACGACAATCACTCATGTCCAAGTGGGGGGCTGGGGCTCCCTTTGGGAGGGAAGGGGCCCCGAGGGCGGAGGCGAGTTCTTGGCGGTGTGGGCAGGGGGTGTATCCTGCCTTATAACGTATGAACGCGTTACAATGTTGTTTTGCATGATTCAAATATAGTTTGAGATTTAAGTAAACTGCCCCAGTGAAATAAAACTTCTGGCTCCCTGTGGCTCCCTGTGTTTAGAAGCCATTGTAGGCCAGTGACTGACAGCAGGGCGGGTCACCTCTCAGGACCTCCCTCTGACCAGAGCCAATGGTATTGCTAAGGTCAAGACTCAAGGCTGTGGCTTCTGGCCATGAGTTCGGAGGACAAGAGCCAGGCCTAGGAGGTCAGTGGCCTCGCCCCCAGGCGCCAGCCTGAGGCGCCCCGAGGAGGTCTCCTGTTCTGCTCCTCAGGCTTGTCTACACCCCGTGCTGTCCTGGGCAGCAACGCGGGCGTGGGACATGCATCAGGCAGAGCACAAGGCAGGCACCCCGGCCTTCCTAGAACTGCCGGCCAGGGACCGCACCGAGGAACAGAGGAGCTCCACACACAGGGGCCTGCTCACCGGTTTTAAAACTCGGCATTGTGAGCTCAGCCGCCTGGCTCCCACCAGAGGCGGGGAGAAGACCCCACGAGAAGCAGGTCAACCAGGGGTCTCCATGGATGGGGCAGAAGGCCTGCCCTTCCTGGAGGGCCTGAGGGTAGCATTAAAGTGAAACTATGCTTACACTGCTGTTTGTAACGCCCGGAAGGGAGGTACTGCATTGGAGAAAAATCTCTACCCGAGCCGCTGCAACCTTACCCTGGGTATTTAACATGCACCTTCAGCTATCCGAAAATCTGAGGCCCACAAATACCTTCTCTGAATGCTCCTGGGGGAAGAAAAGAGGTTTTGTTTGTTTCTAAACTATTGTTTTGTTTAAAGAGAAAATATGAGGGGCGCCTGGGTGGCTCAGTTGGTTAAGCGACTGCCTTCGGCTCAGGTCATGATCCCAGGGTCCTGGGATCGAGCCCCGCATCGGGCTCCCTGCTCGGCGGGAAGCCTGCTTCTCCCTCTCCCACTCCCCCTGCTTGTGTTCCCTCTCTCTCTGTCAATTAAATAAATAAAATCTTTAAAAAATAAATAAATAAAGAGAAAATATGACAGGCGCGCCTGATGGCGCAGTCAGTTAAGCGTCTGCCTTCAGCTCAGGTCACGATCTCGGGGTCCTGGAATCGAGCCCCACGTCAGGCTCCCTGCTCAGCGGGGAGTCTGCTTCTTCTCAAATGTGCTCGCTCACTCTCTCTCAAATAAGTAAATTTTAAAGACCTTTAAAAAAATAAATAAGGAGAAAATATAACAGAAATGTGTGCAGGAGTGCAGAGAGGCCCCGCTCTCGGGGACAGAGCCCCCGCCCTGCTTTCAGCTGGGCCAGCCACCCGCCCTGCCCGCCTCCTCATCTGCGTCCTGCTGCTGCACGTTATCCTGTGGTACCAGACACACTTGTTCTGGACGTGGCTTAGGTGACAGATCGAAACATACACAATGGGAGTCAGGTTTGCTGCACTTCCTTCCAGTCCTTGACATCTTTATGTTAAACAAAGACCGTGTCCACCCCGGCCTGACAGACAGTACCCAGCCCTGCCCGGCCTCGGGCCGGCTTGCCCGGACCTCCCGCTCGGCCCTCAGGGCAGGACACCCACTCACGCGTCGTCCCTGGTGGACACATGTGTGGAGGCTTCTCTCTTACTGTTGTACTAATAAGCATCATTTAATATAGCATAATTATTTCTGCATCTTGAACTGTAGCCTCAGAATAAATCCCAGAAATAGGATTACTGGGCCAAATGTATGAACACTTTTATTTATTTATTTATTTATTTATTTATTTATTTTTAAAGATTTTATTTATTTATTTGAGACAGAGAGAATGAGAGAGAGAGAGAGAGAGAGAGAGCACATGAGAGGGGGGAGGGTCAGAGGGAGAAGCAGGCTCCCTGACAAGCAGGGAGCCCGATGCAGGACTCGATCCCGGGACTCCAGGATCATGACCTGAGCCGAAGGCAGTCGCTTAACCAACTGAGCCACCCAGGCGCCCCGTATGAACACTTTTATACCTCAAAAGACAAGCCTTCAGAGGCGCCTGGGTGGCTCAGTCGTTAAGCGTCTGCCTTCGGCTCAGGTCATGATCCCGGGGTCCTGGGATCGAGCCCCACATCGGGCTCTCTGCTCCGCGGGAAGCCTGCTTCTCCCTCTGCCTCTCCCCCTGCTTGTGTTCCCCTCTCTCACTGTCTCTCTGTCAAATACATAAGTAAAATCTTAGTATTCTGAGTCCTTTCCCTTTAAAAAAAAAAAAGAGACAAGCCTTCAACAAACTCAGACACCTCTTAAGGCCCACAGTCAGAAGCCAGTGGCAGCAACGTGGGCGTTGACCCACCCTAATTGGGTCAAGAGAACACGGTTCCGGAGCCATCAAAACGGAATGGCTGGGAAAAGACCCCCAATCTCCTAGAACACCTTCATCTTGTAAGTCCACTTTACAGCTGCCTGTGGCCCTCAGAGAAGCAGAGAGAACCAGCCTGGGCTCCATGCTCATCACCACCACAAGCAGATGACCGGTGGCTCAGGAAAGGTACATCCTGCAGTCACCGTGCCGGAACCAGTCTGGGCCTGACTCCATAGCGAGGGTTGGGCCCTGGGACCTCAAGGCCTGCGGGTGTCAGAACCGGAAAGGGGTCTTGGCGGGACAGGCCGGGAAGCAGTCCAGAGGCAGAACGCGTTCAATCAGCTACGAAACACCTGCTGGGTGTGCTTCTTTGCCAGAGAAACGAGAAACAACACTGAAGCCGACAGCCTCCTCCCCCCAAGATAAAGGTCTTATAGAAAAGCCAAAGTAGCGAGAAGAACCACCCAGGCGTGCCCTAACAACGGTCTTCGAGCAGCACAAAGGCAGACGGAGGCCAGGAATAAAACAACCTGGAGGTGATAAGGGGACGTCTGTCAAAGTGCACAGAACTCAGATGCTGCTCTGGGGAGGAGCGCAGGGAGCACCTTCCGAGCTCCCCGATAATCCCACGGATGCCCAGAGCCTACCTCAGGGCAGCCTGGAACCAGCCCAGACCCCTGCTTCTGCCCGCCGATCCTGCCCTCACAGCCATGGAGGACCCTAGGAGAGACTACTTGAGGTGGGAAAGGTCTCCCGCCCACCAGCAGATGCAACCACGGCCCACCGTGGGGTACTGGACCTCATCCCTCCACTCAGGCAGCCTGGACAATCTGGACCACAAGAGATTTAATCCCTGAACGGCTTCCACGCCAATCAGCAGCCAGGGGCTACAGTCTGGCTCCTGATGTCCTCTCCACCCACACCGGCTGGTGGCCACCGTGGCTC